AAGAACACAATAGGGCTTTCAGGAAATCTAGGAAAGCTCGAAGAGGCCGTTTTTGCGTGAAAAAACGGCCGAGTTTTAATGTGTACCCTCAGGACCCCCTATCCTGTGTGTTTGTGCCAAACAAGCTGGAAGTTTTTGTTTATTTTGGAAGCGGAGTGCTACATGATCTGCTCGTGGTGGGCAATCGGTATGGTGTTGTTGTTCGTCGGAGTGCATCAATGTGTGTGCGGTGCCGAGTATGTTGGCTCATGAGCGAAAACACATTCTCACGTTCGTGTTATATAGCAAAGTGATATTTATATGCTTGGCCGTTGGTTCACCTTGACTTTTCAGCAAAGCTTGCTTTTTTTTCTCTGAAAGTGTAACCATGACCATGTTCATGCGTGATACAGGGAATCTCTAACGTACGGTCTGGCACATGGTGCGTAACATTGCATGGCGGCTACTCAGTTCAATGTGAATGATGCGGACAGATCTGCTGCATATTGGCAGATTGCGAAGAACTTCACAGATAAAGTGACAACCATTGTTGCAGGACAGCGACCACGGCTTTTCGTTCAGCGACGATCGCAGTGCCGTGCCTGATTGATCAACGAATCAATGGTTGGTTGTGTTGAATTGGACATTAGCCGGCTGTGTTGAATTGGACATTAGCCAGAGTCTGGCTTGATTGTGCCGAGTGAGTGTGCAAGGCAACGCGAAGTTCAACTTCAGCCCGAGACAAGGATACCAGCCCATGATTAGGTGAAGGCGTTCGAGCTAATTGCATCATGAACCAGTTTGAAGTGACCGTGTTGTTGAAAGATGGTTTGTTTGAGTGCAGAGGGCCAGACAGAATCGTCGGGCTACCCTGTGAGAAGCAGACTCGCGATGAGAAGCTGGCAGCAGCAAACCGATTGTTGTGCCTGTGCTTGCTGGCCTTTTTGGCAATGAGCGAAGATGTGATTCTGAATTGTGGTAGAACAGGTGCATCATTGCAAGCTTTTTGCAATCGGTTGCCAATTTCAGACAATGGTCTGCAGGAGGCATGTCTTCCATGGCTCCGTCTGCCGCGTCCAATGCGGCGCCATCAGTTCTCGGCAAAGGTGATGTTTCAGAAATTAACGGAACGGCATGCCATATCACGTGGCCTTTGGTGGCCTCCCGGCCCAGCGCGCGCTATAGCGTCTTGGCAGGTGACCGAGACCCTCAGGATCTGGAAATGCAGCCGCTGACAGGTGAGCTCCGATAGACTTCTGCATCGGATGTGCTTTCTGCATCACGCCACAGGCTATGTCCACACATGTGCAGCTGGAGGTGTCAATGGAGAAGAAAAGTCACCCTGCCATCCTAGCAAACAGGCCGGGAAAGTCAGCGCAACATCGCTGTGTTTGTGATCTCTGTCCCAGCTTCGTGACACATGGTCGCAACGCGACAAGCTGTAATCTGTGTCGCGGTCGAGTTTGAGCGGGGGGTTTCTCGGTGGTTGGCGGCATGAGGCTGCGGAGGCAGAGAGGGTGTCTATTTTTTCTCGTTGCACGTTCGGTGAAAGGGTAAAAGTGGTTTTGGGAGCGGATGGGCAGGGAGGCATGTCCGAATAGTGGAGAACACTTGAACAATACAGCCACGACCAGGCAATTTTCGAGCCTGCAGAACCCTGCATGTGGCAGGCGGAGCGTCCAAAAAAGAGGCTCTATAATGCCACATCCTCAATGCGTTGCCTCACGTTTAAATTGTCAAGCATGTTTGCGGGTTGATGCTGATGCCATTCCAACTGTTGCGAGGTTTGGCCTTCTCGAAACAAGTTCTTCTGCAGAGGAACCATGATGACAGGCTGCGTGCGATAGTCCTGGAGTCCAAGACAGTTTTGCTTGAGGTTTGCCGTTTGACCGAGACATCGAGCTGAAGAGTAGGAATCCTTGGGGGAAGTTCGAGAATTGTGTGTAGCTTGGGCCTGCGCTGAAAGGTGGCGAAACTGAAATGGGAATCACTCCCAACTGTTCGGTCCCGAACCTTTGCGCCAGGGCCTCTTTATTTTGACATTCGAGTAGCTTCAACCTAAACGCCTTCTTTCGACACTTCAACCCCAAGCCCGACAGAAGATTTTGGTAAACGGCAGCATCCCAGGTTTGGACCTGCATCCTGGCTCCTTGCTCTTTGTACTTCATTTGGGTCCGGTGGCCCAAGATCATGGCTTTTGTTTGGGCTTCTCGTTTGAGTCGACAGCTGCAAAGGTCTTCCCTCATTTGTGGCGGGAAGGCTGCTATGCACTTCCGCTGGCAACTTTGGCCGTGCCCCTGCTGCAACAACTGCTACATGTTTAGAATGATTGCTTGGACGATTAGTGCAGCCGTGCTCCTGTCATCTAGTCTAGTTTCAGTCCCGCGCAAGATCAGGTGTTCTTGATGGCGACGGGTTTTCTTCTCGCCACTTGCTGTTCCGATCCTGGGATCATCCCTCGCCGAGAGGTGCAGAAGGGGAGTGGCTCTTTGACTTGTTCATATCGTCCTCAACAGGTGGTTATCGCGACCAAAACTGCTCAACAGTTGCAGGAAAGACTTGGATATGCTGGGACCTCAGACGTGAGTCAGGCCTTGTACGGGGCCTTTTAGCTTCTGGTCCGTCCTTCAATGTTTGGTTTGCCATGGTGCATGGCTGCACACACGTGGCTCATGCATTGAAGGCGTCTCTTGTATGCTGGTGTCGATGCAACTTCATCGAGTGAGGGCTACCGTCCCATCCGAGCTTCAGTAAAGACTGACTTCCCTTACAGTTTTGTCGTGTTCTGGCCGCTGCAGGACTTGCTGGCCAGCGATTCGATTCCTCTAGATGGCAGGCGTGTGTTTCACCCGGTGAAGCGGGAATCTTCGTCCGCATCGCTCGTAGTTCCGATCGGGATGGCAATTTCGCGCTTTTGTCAGGGGAGGCGGACGAAACTTGCCGGTGGAACTGACCAGTCCTCCTGCGAGACTTTGCTGCCTCACTAAGAGGATCTAACCCATGCATGCATGGACACCAGAGCTGGTTGCCAGGTCGTGGCTACAGATGGTGCAGGACATGCAGAATCATTAGGCGACTGCTGTGTGCTATCCACATCCAAATTCGGATTAAGTTAGCATCGTGAGACGCGAACCTCGTTGTCAAGGGAAGTTTTTCAAGAGTGCAGGCCGCCACGCTCCTCTCATTGTCCAGACTGCGACAACTGCGTCTTGCGGTACCGCCGTCACGGAGCGTCATATCATGAGAGTCACGCACAAAACTTGCGCTTGGCTTAATCATCAGTCTTGCAGGTACGACCATCACTGCCCCTTCGTCAACAACTGCCGCTCGTTCGCAAGACCGGGCCTTTTTGTCAGTGTTACGCTGCTTTCTGTTTTGCCTTGAGGCCATAGGGGTGTATGAAGTTTGAAGTTGACGGAACGCATCTCAGAATGCGGAGTAATGCGCTCAACACCATGCAGAACCCATAGCAAAGAAGACACCGAGTGCGGCCCAAACCTCGGTAGGCCCCGGCAGGATCTCTGTAGACTTGTTTCCAAGTTAGTCGAGGTGTTGGGCAGCGCAACTATCACTTTTTCTTCGGCTTCGTAACGTCTGCCGTCGCCTTGGAGTCGTGTAGCTTGTGGCCACCCGGGAGCCTTATGCTTGGAATTTTTCCGGCAAGGTGCTCTGCCTAGCCATGATGGTCTTGCCGGTTCTGTGCCTTTGCCGGTGGTTAAATCGTTTATGCTTGGCTATTTACATATTTCTGAGACGCTCTCTTATGTGCTCGATAGCACGGACCGCTGAGATTCTGGTTTCTGAACAGCGAGAACTTCGAGGCCCGATCGTTCTTGTGGCAGCTGCATATATTTGGAGAGCCATATCTGATGGCCGTGCCAGTTGGCGGTTGATGGCATGATTCACGTCAGCAGCGGTGCACTTCAGCCTGTGTTCTACGCTCTCATCGCGCTGCTCGGCAAAGTTACAGACGGAGAGGAAACGACCGTGGTGATTGGCAGCTACGTCGTTTGCACTTCGGCCTTGGATTCCGAGGCTCGGTGCCCTTGTTGGCATCGCCACGCTTCTCTCTTTCGTGCTTTGGGTTGCGTCCTTGGCAAGAGCCATGCAGGGGTAGGGGGTTCAGTTGGCTGGCCAGATTCTGAGAGCCCTGAAAGAACCTCCGGGCGCAATGAGGTGTACCATGTGTTCCTGATAGCCACGAAGAGGCCGTCATTGGTCCAGAGTATCATGCGATTCACCGTCTCACACCGTTCTTCGTCCTGACCTTGCGGTCTACAGAGCTTTGTAGGACAACGAAGGAGTTTCGCAGAAACCTTTCCAACATCGCGGAGGTGCGTCGAGAGGTCGTCTCCGGAGCGTTTTTTTCGCTTCTGTTTTGCGATCTGCAGGAGCCCACTCTTTGTGCATCTCGAGGCCCTCGGCTCTTCGATCCTGTACTGTCCTCAGATCCACGCCCCGTGTGTCAGTGCGGTGTGCTGTGCTGTGGTGTGCCGGTTTGAGGGCAACATGTTGGTGACGCCATATGAAGCTTGCGGCAGCTTGCGCGTCTGCAATGTCTGCGCTAAGTGGGCGCTGGTTGATCCTCGCGACGTCATACGTGTGGACGAAGCCCCGCCTCCGACACCGAACAACTTCTGCACGGACGAGCTGGGAGGGGAACATGACCTTAGCAATTGCATTGCTTCCCGCATTTAGGCAAATCACCTCACTTCTTTGCAGGATTTGTGGAGCTCCTGTTTCGGAGAGGATTAGGCGGACTCGCCGCGCGCAAGTTTCACTCCACAGCTTGCTAGACGCTGTGTGCGGGTGGAGAAAAGCAAAGATTGAACGTGGAAACTGCACAGATGGGCTGTCCGTCTACCTGTGACATGTCGGTAGTGGATTCCAAGCTGGTCTAGCTACATTTGGTGGCCTGCAAGAAGATGCGAGGAGTGTGCCCCAGTGCCAACAATAATCAAATATCGGATGCGCAGCTCTAGTGATACTTAGCGGTTGTGTTTTGGGTGCTAAGTTTAGCTTTTGTTCGTTTGTTGTTCTTAGGGGTCGTGGGTGTGCTGGCGATACAACATCAATAACCTATTCTCCAGCAATTCCGAGAGCTGTGAGTTAACAATGCTTCTGCCCAACACGTTGCAAATCTTGGCTGTGCGCAGATGGAAACCAAGAGCAAAATCTGAAGGCATGGCTAGGGAGTCGGGAGTAATCACAGTTTCCTGCAGCCTCAAATGCCCACTGCTTCAAGTCCGGACACTATATCTGAGACGGGACCTTAGGCGCAGGGTTTAGGGATGTGGGGTGTTGGGCTCGATTAGGGCTTAGGGCTTGAAGGGTTTGGGCCAGCATTTCGTGCTTGGGCCTTTCGTCGATTCGTCTCAGGGCGTCTAGGGGGTTTGGAGCTTTGGGCTGAAGCTTGGAGGGGTAGGCCTTGCGTTCAGTGAGATTCTGTCAGACGTCAGCTCCTCAGAATCAGAAGCGGTGACAAAGCAGGAAGGTTGGGAGATCAGGGTTTCGACGTCTTTTGTTCGTTAAAGCACCGCGGACCTCAAAACCCCTTCGTGCCCAACGAAAGAAGTGACAAGCAAGACGAAAAGAGCTCCAAACAACCAGCGATGCTTGCAGCCGATATGTACACATCATTGTGTATTGGCATCCATGTGTATCTCACTTGGTATCTTTTTTGCCATAGTGCAGTCCGTGGTGTTGAACGCTCTTCGAGCCCTGAGCCGTGTTTCCTCCCCCATTGGAGATGCGACTCGAAGCCTTGATCTGGTTCATGTCGGCTTCCTGCTCGCAGCCGGAATTCGAGTCTCAGAACAATCGGCATCGGGTAGCAGTCGAGCAAGACATAGATGACGTAGTTGCTAGATGTTGGACGCGGCCGCAATTTCTGTTGAGAGCAGCACGACGCGTGTTGAATACTGTACTTCCAATTCTTGACAGAGCCATGTTGACAGCAGTGCTTGTGCAGCTTCAATATAGGAATGGCCGAATGAGACCGAACTGAGAAAGTAACGCACGGTGTACTTTCGGGCAGTTCATATCGGCGACCTAGAGCATTGAACACAGACGAGTCTGACATGAAATCATGAAAGCCATCTGACCTGATGCCCATCATGTCTGATCGCTGGTCCATGTAGCTACATGCCAGCAGCTGGATTGGTGATCCGATGCGTCCACAGTTCCGCCAGCATCAGACCCTCTGATCGAAAGCAGGAGGTAGGTTCAGCTGATTGGTTTTGCCTCTGTGAACACAGATGTCTGGTGTGCTATGGCTGACCGTGTAGGGTCTGTTGGCTGATAGGAGCCTTTGATTGTCAGCACTGAGGATTCCCACTCCCTGCGCCCCGAAGCGTTCAATGGATGAGGAACAGCAGCAACCTCGGAAACAGGGATACGATGCAGAATTTCAACATGAGAGCGTTCGAGCGTGAAGTGCGAAGATTCAGCTTGAGAGGCTGTGCCATCGGTTGCACAAACGACTGCGGATCGGCAGCCCAACAGCGGCACGCCAGTTGGCACACGGCCACTATTCGCAGGCTTGGCTGCAGGTGTAGCTGGCTTGATGCCAGTGGAAGTTGCCTTGCAAAATTCTGGGACACATGCAAGCATGGCTAGCTGCTGGCCGCCTATCTTCAGGCACATGTTGTCTTAGCAAACCTGGCGCTGTCGTCACTAAGACTTCTTGTTTCGCCGCCTCCAAGCAGAGGCAAACAGCGTTCTGCAGCAGCTCCATGCCGAGCATCTGGCAAGGCACCTTCTCCGAAATGATTGACGAGAATATGGACAATTGTAGTCAACTTTGTTATGAGAGTTTGGAGCCGCATGTTTGGAGTATCTGTGCAGCATGGAGCTGCAAAGCGCCCATCCACTTGCATACTGACCTCGTGCTCGGGTTGCAAATAAGGCGGCAGCAAACGCCTCGTCCTGACTACCCGACGGACGCGACGATGACGATGACACATCAGGCCTGCTGCATTCCGAGCTGCTTTGTAAAGCCGCGACCTCGGTGGCATCGCTAGACTCCTAGACAGGCCTGGACGGCTGCTGGGAGCGTGGCTCCCACCGACTTTGCGGCAATGCAACCTGGCCGCATGCTTGGCTACAGAACGTGGCTTCAGCTGTATGTCCCGAGTTTCCTGCACATTCCTTCTGCGAGCCTCACTGGCTGATAGCCTTCGGGCCCTTCAAAATCCAACCAAACCATCCAGCTTTTGCGAAAACACTGAAGTGCCTGTCAGAATGATGCTCGTGCAGCACGTTTTGCTGGTCCCAATTGTAGCGATCAACGTGAAGCGGCAGTGGACATGTTCTTTCATCTTTCCATCTCAACTGTTCGCCCACAATCCCTCCACCCTCGTTGACCTCCACCTCGCACTTCCTCTTCTGATCCTCCTCCTGGCATCTGCCCCGCGTGTTGGCATCCATGCGGTATTGTGGAATCACAGTATCCATGGAGGTCTGTTGAGATGTCGTCGGCCTAGTCACGGTCCTAACTGCACGAGGGCCAGGAGCCCGCAAAATGCCTTGGGGCTGTAGACATAAATCAGACAACTTGGTGTCTTCGTTGCTTTCAGCTTAATTTGTCGCATCTCACATCGCGCTTGATGCTTTGTGCGTCAGCAATCCCGGTCTTTCCTTTCGCGGCAGCTTTGATGGTAAAGCAAGGCGACATGTGCTGACTTAAGGACTCATTTTGTGCTCAGCGACGCAACTTGCTTGCATGCGATTTTGGTGATGTCCTTTACGATTATTGGCGGAGTTACGAGATCGAGATGTTTCAGTGCTGTGTGCTTTGCTCTGAAGAATGAAGGTTGTACAGTGCTCACACGGGGCACAGGGTCGTTGTCTGCAATGTGCTGGGCGATTGGTTCAAAACGCTGGAAGCTCAACTCCTTGCATGCAGATGGGCCTTCGCAATCAAATGTCGAGACGCCTAGTTTGAATAAGATCAGGTTCCATTGCAGGTCTACAGCGATTGGTGTACAGCTTGCAGGCACGCTGCTGACTAGTGAGTGGAGGCTCCGGTCAAGAACAGCAAACACTTTCCTCCGCGGATGTCACCTTGCCAGTTCACCTGCATCCTCTTCAAACATTCCACCTCCACGGCCCTGTGCCACGTCGGTGAGGTGCAGAAGCCCGGGGAGAATTGGAGTAAGCTTTCAATATCGAACCGTGGGGAAGACGCGGGGTTTGCCCAGGGAGCTGACCTTTCCGGCCATGGCGGCGCTCATTGCGTGTCTGGGGCCGGAGCCGGGAGAGAGGCCAGAGACCTCTGCTCTTGCACTCTGCACCCATACATTTTGCCGACTTGCTCTAGGTCTCACTCATCAGCCTTTCTTGCCCAAGCCTGCAGACAGCTGCCTCGCAGCACACCGAAGACGCATGCGCTCAAAGGCTGCAGAATCCTTGTCGCATCTGTTGGGTGTCAGTATCTGCATGCTGGGCGCTGCGCAGCGAATTACACTGGTCTCTCTAAACGACGTGTACAAGTTGGTTCCACTTACCAGCGACCTGAGTTACTACTACCTTGAAGCAGACTTGGACTACTTAGATGACGTTGCCGCGGCAGAATGTGACGGGACAAACTGCGTCGGTGATCTAAGTTCCTGCGGACTGGGTCTGTCCTGGGAGTCATGCTTTCCTGGGCGATTCGGCAAGGCAGAAAAGCTGAGCCTTTTGGAGCACACGCAGCACACCCAACAGAGCAAAGGTGTGAATGTAGTGGCTGGTCCCTGTGCATCCAACTACCCTCAAGCACAAAGCAAGTCACAGAACTACGGAGGCCTCGTGGACTTTGGGGCGACATTTCGATGGGTCAAAGAGGAGGCAGCGTTTCGTGGAGACGTCGCCGTAGGAACGTTTTCCGGCGACTTTATTGCACCATCGTACCTTGCAGAGATATTCAGAGGTTCTCAGTTGGTGGAGATGATGAACCTGATGGGTGTTGATCTAGCTAACATCGGAAACCACGACATCGATTTCGGGCTACCAAACTTAAGAGCACAAATGGGAAAGTCCGCATTTCATTATCTCAACTCGAATCTGCAGGAGGATGTGGGAAAGGAGATTCAGCAGCCAATGCAGGATTCCTTGCAGGTGAAAGGGAGCAGTGGTGACTACGACGTGAGCATTTGGAGACGACTGCACCAGATCCCTGGCAGCTCATCCGGACGAGGTTGGGCAATTTTGGCGCAGGATGGAATCAAGATCTGCGTCTTGGGCACAACAGATATCGACAAAATGAACTGGGCCGGCAAAAAAATCAATGGTTCTGTGAGGGACATTCCCGCTGCAGTCGACATTCTTCGCATGTGGGAGGCCAAACGACTCGGATGCAGCCTGCGGGTTGCTATGACGCATACGAGAACTGGAAATGATCTAAACCTTTTCAGAGCAGTAGAGCATTCTGGGCTTCACTTGGATGCCATCGTGGGTGGCCATGATCACTACATAGCTTTCGGCAAGCTGAAGCGTCGTGACAATGGAACAACTTTTTTGGTGAAAGCCGGGGCGGATGCGCGCATTGTGGCCAGGCTGCAGTTTGACCTGTCGGGCAGTTTGCCTGCAGGCAGCTTGTCGGTGGTACCTGTCGTGGCAGGATGTGCGAGGAGAGAGCCAGGCAGAACTTGGCTAGACAGGGCTCAAAGGCTGTTTACGAAATATGCAGCTAGAGCCGACGAGGCGGATTCACGACCCCTTCACATCACGTACCAGGGCCTCTATGACACCAGCTCAGTTAGGGACATGGAGTCAAGGGCTGTCAATATGTGGCTCGACCTCATGCGAGAGAGCATCGCTGCGGAAGTTCTTTTTTTCCAGGCTGGTTTGATCCGCCAAGACATGCGTCAGGTGTTTGAGCGACATCCTTTGACTCATTTGTTCCTTCTTGAAGAGTTTCCGTGGGCGGACACCGATGCGGACGCACGAAGCAGCTTGTTCCCCTTCCAGATCTCCCTGTCCGACCTGGTGCTCACAACTTTGCCCTTTGTGGCAAGGCGGTACTGGTGCAAGGCGCCGTTCAATGATGCGAATCGCGTGCATGTGTCTGGATTTGTCATGGAGATGATGCGGGAAGACTCGTGTGATGCCGCGGGCCAAAATCCGATCATGTCTGCCACTTTCGTCGGCGGTTGCCATCGTGCTGGTGCGCTTCTCCCTCTGGATGCGGGCTGCTGCACATCCTCTCTTTGTGGACGTGTTTGGTCGGATGGGGCCTGGGATGCACGAGTGACTGCAGCTATGAAGAGCCACCAGCTCAGTGTGGCAACTGGCCAGTTCTGCGTACCTTCGAAATATGGCAGCCATGGTGAAGGATTCCATGTCGTGGGCATGCTGTGTAGAGATGCGGAGCCGGAGGACAATTGGGGCTCGGGACGCGAGTTTGCAAAGCACGTTGGGCAGGGTTCGGTTCAGGTCAGCAAGGAACAATCCCTCTGGTCGGCTGCGAACGCATCGAGCTTTCTGCGATGGGGATTTCTTCTCAAGCCTGCCATTATGGCCATGCTGCAGCCGCAGCATTCGGACTTCCTGGCAAATGCTCAAGGTCCACGAAGCCAGCAGTGTGATGAATTGCTTCTCGGCATTATCAGCATTCCTTTCAGACAAGTTGGAGTTGGGGTCGAGGTTGTGGAGGAATTTGTTCTTTGGTTACGACGTCGGAGTTTCTTATCATGAGATAACTTGCAGGCTGTTGCTAATGTTCTTGAAGGCAGCTCATCTACTCTGCGCAGACGTTCACATATCACTGCAAGTGCCAACTGAGGCCGGGGTCGTGTCAAGACAAGCTCAGCTGCTATCTAAATGCGCACCCTCCGTGATTCTGCCCTGACAGGCAGGCTGCAGAATGCGCGACAGAATGGTGGCTTGGCTGCCCGAAGTGGGACCAGGATGGTGGCCGAGGGGTAAGTGGGCCTTTCCAAGGACAGACAACCCATACCCTCGCCTTTATGCCGCGTGTCTTGGCAGTAAAATGACGGCACGAAAGTTCGAGTTGAGTGATTGGGAGGATGGAAATAAGATGCAGCCAGTCCAGTCCATCAGATCATCAAACTTCGGCGTCATGGTTCAGAATCTTTGTTTATTCCTTCAGACAAAAGTGCCATTGGCCAGGGGCCTCTCAGGGCGCTTGGTGGAACGACGTGTGATGTTCACAGTGGATTTCGTGGGCTCATGTCTCTGGAGGCCCGCAGCCGCATTTTCCTCGACATCCTGTGGTGTTTCTGCGTGCTTACAGTGAGCAGTCATCGCTGCAGCGCTTGCAGAACTCGGACACAGCTTCTGGTTTCTTTCACACAGAATTTGCAATGTGAAGAAGCGGCACGCCTTCACCGAGGCAGACGTGATAGCACGCCGTCCTTTTTTGGAGGGGAGGTGGTGCATGTAGGAGGTCCAAGCTTTCACCACATGGAACGTTGCCGGGCTGACCGCAGCTCGTTGCTATGTGTTTCAGTCACAAGATGTGAGGGAGCATCAGGCTGCTTGCACGATCCGGGACTGCGAAAGCTGCAAGAGCCGACCGACTTTGCAGTCCGTTCTTGCAAGATGCTTTAGTGCAGCCGTGGCCTTTTGCCACTAGCCGCTCAAGCCCGGCTGCCGCAGGCTGTTGCACTTGAGCAGCGGTGTTGCTCGGGTGGTGTCTGCCTGGGCTCTCCTCGTGCCGCGAGGTGGGCAGCTTTGCCGTGGGAGAGTACACTTTAACGATGCTGTTCAGGAATGGCCTGCGGAATTGAGCGCTGTGCAGCGCACCATGAAGCTGCTGTGACGGCAGTGGAGAAGATGGACCCGGAGGTCTCGGTTCTGTGCGTCAGTGTCCGCCAGCTGCTAGCAGCTGGTAGTGCTAGAAGTTGCAGCTGGTTGCAGGTTCAGAGCCGGGTGTTGCTCCACAACGGCAACCTTCTGGATTCGCAGAATGACTGGCATCAGGCCCCTCCTAGATTCCTTGAGATTTTGGAAGCGTTGCTGAGAACCTCAGGCGAGCACCATCCTCGTCAGCGGGGAAGCTTTAGCGGATTCCCACGTGGCAAGGGTTACCACTGGCCTGGAGAGGCTATTGGGTCAAGCCGAGACTCGAATGCAAGAAGCACACACCGCGCTGCATGCTTTCCTGGGCAGGACACAGCCAGGAACACGCATCGCCTCGATCGGCAGACCGCTGGGTGATCCAAATGGACCTCTTGGTCTGCAGTTCGTTCGGCAGGTGCTGTGCTCAGTCTTTCCCATCATCTGAGCCGCTGGAACACGGCCCTTGCTAGGTTGTATACCGGACAGTCGGCTCGGGGAATGCGAACCCTGGAAGCAAGTCGAAGGGCATACCTTTCCGACTATAATGGTCGGAAGCCAAGGCCCGTATTCATCTACCGCAAGCCCGGTCTCTGAGAAAGGACTTTGTGTTTCACACCGTAAAGATAGGCTGCTGGGCATCCGAGCCTCGATGAAGTCTTGCAACAGCGAAGATATTCTGGAATCTTCCATCTAGCTCCGATGCATGGCTCTGCACTACCGTGCGAAAGTTAACGTGCATGCCTGCCAGGCAGCGAGAAAAAAACAGCTTCACACAAATTTAGAGGCTACGTTACATTTCGATCGTTTAACTACATCGAGCCGTGCCTGTCGTACCTCAACGTGCAAGTGTCAGGCTTTGGGGTTCAAGCCAGTCATCCACAGTTGAATCAATTCCTTTTCATAGCCATGGTCGGCGACTCGTTGTTTACGAATCGGATAATCAGATGAGTTTTGCACTCTTGATTCAGTCTGGCTGTGCTGCAAACCAGGCCCGACGTTCCAACGGCCTAGGGGCCTTGTTGCTTTTCACAGCCGTCTACATGGTCTTGCAGCTCGGCTGTAGAATCAAGACCTCTGACATGAGGCGGATGTAAGCAAATCTCCGAATTCCTTGCTCTGAGGGACCTGTGGACGTCGACTGGCGCCCTGCCACGCGATTT